CCATCTCTGGGGTGAAATTTTTTTTCAACGTTTTAACTACAGGTTTCGATTATAAAAGTGATTCTAAACAAAAAATTGTGCTATAAACATTTTTTTTATAAAAATGATATTTTACAACTTATCCGCGATTGAAAAGTAACAACTTTTAGAACGAAAAAAATCCACGTTTCTTTAATCGATTTTTCGCGAATAATTCGAAAATGGTGCATTTTATCAGAAAAATTGTAGAAAACAAATTTGTAGCTTTTAAAAAGACAAATACAATTCATTTTTTAAAATGTTTTTTGGGATATAATAGGAACCTGAAAATACGGCCTATCAATGTTCAGCGGTTTTCTTCAAATGCCAAATTTGAAAGATTCAAAATCAAATATCGGAAAATGATGCATTTTTTGGAAGAAACTCACAAAATCTTTTTAAAGAGCATAAAATAGACCTATCATAAAAAAAGACTCTAGCTCAAAAATTGAGTGAGATGATGAAAATAAGGTCAATACCTCATTTTTTACGAAAAAATCGAAACAACACCCCTAACCTCCTCCATAAATTAAAATCGATCTTTACCTTCTGAAATTCCCTTTGTACATGTATTGTTACTTACGTCCAAGAAGTTTGACCATTTAAAATGCTTGTGTTAGAAAAAGTACAGCTTAAAGCGAGAAACGATTTACAATTTCATACTTTTTACCCTTCTTTTTTTATAATATGCCCGAAAATACTGAATATATGAAAAAAAATGCAATTACCAAATTGTAGCTTTTTTAATGACTAAAATTATCCTTCATTTAGATTTGTTGTACATTGAAGATTTGGCAAGATATAGCCGTTTTAAAGCATCGATTTACGATCAAGCACCATCTTTTTCGAGCCCTTTAAAACCACCTCCATTTAAAAACCAAGGGCTCCAAAAAGATGTAAATTCACAGATCCTTGTAGCTCTTAAAAACCTTACAAATCGTTTTTGAAGAAACTCTCTATCGTTAAAAATTAAAAGAAATACGTTAAAAAAACCAGTGAATTTTTTTCCGGAAAATTCTATTAGTATAGTACAGTACATTTCGGAGCATAATAATCTACAAAACCGGTATATTAGCTAGTGGGGCGTTTTAACATTCGAAATTTTAAGCGTTCTTATTTTGAAATCCCATACAACAGAATAAAACATCTGCTCATATGTCTATGGCTTGGCAATGAAAATATTAGAGCAACAGATTGGGGATGGTATTCCAAAGATGGTTTGTTATTACCCGTACGCATGAACAAACAACCTGCACTCGATGAACTTTTGAAAATTATTTTTTGGCAATGCAAAAAAGGATGCGGTGTTTCATGTGGGTGCAGAAAAGTTGGTTTATACTGTAACTCTACTTGTTCTGGGTGCTCAGGTGAAGGGTGCAATAATAGTCCACCAATAATTAAGATGAGGATGACATAGATCACGATGAAGATGTAATTGATGACGAATAAAATTAATATTATAATTGTTTTACCTATAAATGTAAATATTTTCTACTATTTATGTAAATGTATAAGAATATATGGTGCCTTTTTTATGTTGATAAATTTTTTTGTATTTAATTCTACTTTTTTCAATTTATATCTTATAAATTAGTTTATAAAAACTGCAATGTTGTAAAGGGTGATTTTCAAAAGTTGAAAAGTTGCAAAATTTTGGCAAAAAATTGTTTCACCTATAGCACTCATAACAATTGATTTTTAAGGGTTGAAAATGTATGAATTTGTATTTTAAAGTATAAAAAATCAATATTTAACTAATCCCAAACCAAATTTCACTCATCTTAAGATTTAATATTATTTTACAATTTTTGAAAATTAGGGTAGTTTTCATCCCTAAGAACAATCAGGGTTCATCGGCATGACATAAACTAAGAAGCAGAGGGTGAGTTGAGCTTAAGTCCAAATTTTTATGCAAATCGTTCCAAGGTGAAATCATTTTCTTCGCATTACTAATTTTTTTATATTAATCTCTAATAAGGGTCGCTTTTTAAGGGTTGAAATATGATGGAACTTTATTTCAAAAGCACAAAACTATCAATATTTAATTAATTCAAACCAAATTTTACCCATATTCAGGTTTAATATGTTATTTTATAATTTTTGACAATTACGGTAGTTTTCACCCTTAGAACAATCAGGTTCGTCGACATGACATAAACTATAAAGCAGCGGTGAATTGAGCTTAAATCCAAATTTTTATCCAAATCGATCCAAGGCGAAATCATTTTTTGTAGAATTAGTAATTTCTTTACATTACCTCTAACAAGGGTTGCTTTTTAAGGGTTGAAAATATGTGGAACTCTATTCAAAAGTATAAAATAATCATTATTTAACTAATTCAAACCAAATCTTACCCATATTCAGGTTTAATATTTATTTTATAAATTTTTGACATTTAGGGGTAGTTTAACCCCTAAAACCCATCAGCGCACTTCGGTTCGATATAGATTTTGATCCTTGGGCTATCACCTACCTTCTGTTAAAATTTCAACTGGATACATGCAGGACGAAAAATTGCGAGGTTTTAACTATTTTTCGAGATTAATTTCCTGAACTATTATCGTTTCCTCAGACAAACCCGTCTTACGCAACAACATTGTTGTGAGACAGATAGTTGAACGATATTTTATACAATGTCTATACCCAGGTAGGATTTATTTTTGTCCAAGTTTTATATTGGTCCACCATTTCAAATGCAGTTCAAACAGACATGTATTAAATTGTATGTTCCGTTTAATTTGGTTCAATCTGTATAATATAATGTTATGCTCACAGGTATTAATGTTTTATTTAATTAAAAAGTTAATCAAAAATGTATTTTTATTCTCCTAAAATATTAGTCAGATAATTTTGTATATACAATAAAAAAATTTACATAAAATTTTTAAGCCAAGCACGACTTCTATCATGAATTTGGCTAAATAATACTCTATTCCTTACCAGACAATAAGAAGAGAAAAAAAAGATAATACCCAAAGAAAAAAAAAACGAAAAAACTTAAATAAGGAACTTAAATATAGGAAACCTCAACAGAGAGAAAGAATTCAGAGCATTATATAAGATAGACTGAAAAGAATTCAAGGCAACCACAACACAATGCAGTCAAATGGCGACCTATTAACAACAAGAAAAGATGTATTGAATAGATGGGTGGAATATTTTAACCAGGCTCTTAATATAGAGGAAGAATAAGAAAACCTGGAAGACGAAAGAGATGAGGTCAGGGGAACAGGCGAGAGGAAGAGAAATCACAAATGATTCTTGAAGTTAAAGATCCAGTTAAAAACTAGCCAGAAACAAATCACCCGGAATAAGTAAATCTCCAGCTGAACTATATAAAGAAAGTAAACTCGATACCATTATGATACTAC